GAAAGAAAGAAAGAAAGAAAGAAAGAGGGAGGGAGGGAGGGAAGGAAGGAAGGAAGGAAGGAAGGAAGGAAGGAAGGAAGGAAGGAAGGAAAGAAAGAAAGAAAGAAAGAAAGAAAGAAAGAAAGAAAGAAAGAAAGAAAGAAAGAAAGAAAGAAAGAAAGAAGAGACGGAGAGAAATCTTTCCCAGAAGTGAGAAAAGGCCGGACAAGAGAAATCCACTTCTGCCCAGGCCAAAGGAGCAGCCTTTCCTGTTAACGATACACTAACGGGGAAAACAAAACGATGTTCCACCAACTAGGGGGTTAAAATAGCGAAAACTAGTTTTGGTCATATCAAAAGATAAAAATGTTTCTAGGATCGGCTGTTTTTTTAAAAAAAAAAAAACGAGAGGAAAAGGAAAATTTGGTTTAGAATCCAGAGGTCTCCAAACTTGGCCCCTTTAAGACTTGTGGACTTCAGCTCCCAGAATTCTTCAGCCAGAGGAATTCTGGGAGTTGAAGTCCACAAATCTTAAAGCGGCCATGTTTGGGGATTCCCAGTTTAGATGCACAACAGTAAAAGGAATTAAAAGTTAAAATGTCTTCCGCAGATCCTGTTTCTCTTAATTCTTGCAGGACAGAAGATCTTGGTACATTTCGGTCAGATAAGCCGCCTCTCTCTGGCCAGACAGCAAAGCACCATGGGTGGTGGAGTAGTACTTCCTGTGCGTTGCCTCGCCTGAAAACATCACCTGTTTAGGCTGGAGATCCAGGTGCGAGAGAGAGAGAGAGAGAGAGAGAGAGAGAGACAAGAAAGAGGGAAAAAAAGAGAGAAAAAGGTTCTTAAGCAATATTTTGTAAAACAATAACCCTGTTGGTGGTCCTTGAAGTACAACAGTTGGTTTAGCGACCAATCGAAGTTACAACAGCACCGAAAAAAAGGTGACTTGGGACCATTTTTCACACTTACGACCGTTGCATCTCCGCATTTACGGGGGTCAAAATTCAGAGGCTTGGCAACCCGTATTTATGATGGTGGTGGTGCCCAGCCATGGGGAAGCCAGATTCACTTAATAACCACCGTGTGACTCACTTAACAACTGTTTATAAAGAAAGGACATAAAATGGGGGCCGAACTCATTTAACCAACATCTCGCTTAGCAACGGATACTTTGGGGTTCTGTGGTGGTCGTTAAGCCAAGGACTACCTGCATTCTATCCCATGATATCATGTTGCAAAACAAATTCTATCGCGTCAACTTTTCAGGGACCAAGAAAACGCAGGAAATAAGTTCAGAAAATATTCAGTTGTTCTAGATTCCTCCACCGTGAGAAGATATGTCAGAAAATCCAGTCTGGTTTAGAGGCGAAGAAATCAGAATAGACACCAGGAGACGGGGAGTCCTAGTCCCGCCTTAGGCATGAAAGGCGGCTGGGTGACTTTGGGCCAATCACCAGGAGACGGGGAGTTCTAGTCCTGTCTTAGGCATAGAACTTGAATGGGTGACTTTTGGGCTACTCATTTTCTCTCAGCCCAACCTAACTCACAGGGTTGAGGAGGAGGAGGAAGAGGGGGAGGAGGAGGAAGAGGAGGAGGAGGAAGAGGAGGGGAAGAGGAGGAGGAGGAGGAGGAGGAGGAGGAGGGGGGGGGGGGGGGGGGGGGGGGGGGAGGAAGAGGAGGAGGAAGATGGCAGGGAGATTGTGGGGTTGGTGCTCTCTGAGATTGACAGCTTTCTTGCAGACGTTTCATTATCCAACTAGGTAACGTCATCACGGCCGGCAGTGCTGATACCTACCACAGTTTTGGAACTCTCTGTGTAAGGCAAGGGTTTCGCAAGTTTCTCCACGTCTGCTCCGCTCGACCCAACTTGCGTGTAAGAGTAAGAACCACGGAAATAGGGGTTGCTGCCCCAAGAGGATCGAAGGATCCGCCGAGGTTTCGGAATGTCTGGATTCCCTAAAGCGAAAAAGAGGATTGTGGGAGCAGTTGAAAAAAATATGAAACCTCCAATTTGAAACCCCAAATTTAAGACCTCTCCTGGCCTTGATTTTCCAGCAGGAAGATATTCGCTCCTTGGGAGATGCACCTTAGCATTTACTGTTACCGTATTTCCCCGAAAATAAGACCTAACTGGAAATTAAGCCCTACCATGATTTTTCAGGATGATCGTAATATAAGCCCAAGTTAAGATCGTCGGCCAGACGGACACATTTAGTACCGTATTTCCCCGAAAATAAGACCTAACTGGAAAATAAGGCCTACTGCATCTTTTGGAGCAAAAAATTAATATAAGAAAGACCCTTTATTTTCAGGGAAATAAAGGTAGTTCTGAATCCAGTATTAGTCAAGTAATGCAGCTGTAAGGAAGACCCAGAACCATAGAAATTAAAATAACAGGGTTAGGGTTAGTTCTTTGCAGGAAGCAAAGAAGTTTTTGCATTGAAGCCTGGTGGACTTTCGGATTCTCTTGGCTGGTGTTTGGAGACTCTTTGTGTTTGAACTATTTCTTGGCAACTTTATCTGGTGTTCTTGGCAGCCTTGCACCTCCTTGGCCAGGGTTGTTCTTATCCAAGACAATTAGTTTGAAACAGCCTTTTAACCGGGAAGGAACAGAATTCGTAAAGAATCCTTAAAAGGTTTTGCTGTTACCTCCATTTCGTGTTTGTTTGTTTCTTTGGAACAAGGTTTGGGTCAGAACATGTTTTCAAATTGTTTAATAAATTTTTAATAAAATTTATCCAGAAAAGAAAAGAAAAATGATTGTTTTTACACACTTATAACGAATGCAGGACCCCAAGGGTCATGTGATCAAAATTCAGACCCTTGGCCACTGACTCACAGTTATGACGGCTTCATTGTCCCAAGAGTCACGGGATTCCCTTTTACTACCTCAGGACCATCACAATCAACAGGGGAAACAAGGTTCACTTAACAACCAGGTTACTAATTTAACAACTGTAGTGATTCGCTTAACAGCTGCGGCCAGAAAGGTCGTAAAATGGGCGGAGGGGGCGCGGTTGGACTCAAACTTAATGGATGTCTCACTTAACAACGGAAATGTGGTCGTAAGTCAAAGGACTCTCTTCATTTAACAAAAACGTCAGATTTGTGAGAATAATCACTTTTTATTCTAGATTTGAGATTATTCTAGCAACTCTGAAATTTTTGTTGTAGACACCTTTGTTAATGTACAGTAGTTAAAAATCAAGAGGAATCTTGGAAAACGTGTAGATCTTAAACCTGAACTTTTAAAATACGATACAGTACCAGAAAAAAATGATAAACAAAGAGTATATTTAATATTGCATGTATTAACTGCAGCAAGGAATGTATTTGCTCAGCATTGGAAAAATGAAGAAGTGAGGCAGAGGAACAGGGGGAGCCTGATCCCAGTGCACGCTTGCACAGAGCTGCCAGAAGGTAAGAACAGTTAAGACAAAAGGGGCGACTCAGGAGTAAGGCTGGGAGATGATTGGCCCCTCCCATAAGACATAAAGGAGGAGCAAAGGGACAGGAGCCTTTGCAGGAAGCAACTTTGTTCCTACTGGTTGGTTTGAAACCTGAAGCTCCGTGTTGAATTTGTGTTCCGTTTTGGCCGCGTATAACTAATTGGACATTTAGTCCTCGGCAGCATTTCAAGGGAGATAAAGGTGGGTGCTGATCAGACTTATCCCGAAGGATTTTGACAGACTTCCATGGGACTATTTACAAACTGTTGGGAGACTCATTACAGGCTGTGAATGGTTAAAATTCGCAGCCGTTGAAATGAAGAAAAAAGCGTTTGGAGACTAACGCGGGTTTTGTTTGTGTCTCAATAAGCCTTGGTCAGAACAGGTAGCACCATAAATGGGATGCTGTTAATGACTAAGGTCCCATCATAAATGGGAAGACCCTCCTTCAAAAATGATGAAGTTCTGCATAGAACTCCTTGGAAGCACCTACATCTGCCTTGCTCCCGCCATAAATGGGATGTTGATAATGATTAATGAGTAGACCCTACCTTTATCTTGGCCCCACCATAAACAGATGTGGCTCCTCCCATGATGATGAACATCTGTATGGAAGCACCTACCTAAGCCTTGGCTCTACGATTGATCGTGGCTCAGTACCGCGTTGGAAGTTCAGGGAGAGCCGCCATGGGGATCGGCACTACCCATCCTTGCATCGCTCTCCACCCCACCTTCTAGATCCGTGATGGCAAACCTATGGCACGCGAGCCCCAGCCAAACTTACCTGCACTGTGCATGCGCGCACCTCCCAGCTGATTTTCGGCCTGTTTTCGGCCTCCCAGAGGCTCGAGGGAAGCCTCTGCAGCCTCGGGAGGTCGAAAAACGGGCCTTCCAGAAATACCGGAAGTACCGAAACGGGCCCGTTTTCCAGCCTCCTGAGGCTCCAGAGGCTTCCCTTGAGCCTCTGAGAGGCCAAAAACAGCCTCAAACAGGCCGAAAATCAGATGGAAAAGGTTCGCCATCACTGTTCTAGACCCACCTTCTAAGATCCCAAAGAGAAGGACCACCGACCTGTAAATTTGCGAAGCATCTCAGTGCAGATCTCTGCGACCGTTTCGTCGTCGTACTTCTCCATGATGAGGGCCTCCTCGCCGCAGATCCAGCCACTCAAGACATGGCCGTAACGCTCCGGCGGGTAGAGGACGTCAAAGCTGCAGATCTTCTTGTACCACAGCTCTTCCGGATAGGTGAGGCTCTCGGCCTCCGCCTCATCTTCCCAAACGAACTGAATGCTGTTGCATTCGGGGCTCCAGAAAGGCGCCTCAAATTCCAGGAAGATCTTATCGGTGGTGCTAATGCCCAACTTCTGGATGGCCAGCACCTTCTCTTCGGGCAACGGCGGGTAGAACATCTCCTCGTGGCGCTTCTTCAGGACCCCCAAGGAGACCGTCACGATGACGTGGTCAGCCAAGATGAGCTCGCAGTCGTCGCACTCCACCAGGACGCTGTAGCCTGCGTTGTCCTCCAGGCGCTCTTCGTTGTGATCAGCCACCTGCTCGATCTCCTTGCTGATGGACTGGTTCCAGTGGATACATTTGACCGGCTTGTTCAGGTGGACGACGGACTCTGGGATGGAGCGGGAGAGGATCTCCACAATTTTCATGAAGCCACACGGGATGATGTGGTGGGCTCCGGGGATCTCGGTCCACTCTCCAAATTCGCTGAGAGAGACTTCGTCCATGCTGTGAGAGCTGCTCTCACAACTTTCCACCTGCTCCAGAAGAAACGGAAGAGGATAGTTTCCATTAGGACATTCTTCTCCGGGTGGAAGTCATTCCTTCCCTGTTGGGACCCGGTTCCCCAAACACAACAAACCCTCTGACGTGAACTCAAAAGATTCCTTTATTAGGAGCGCCGGAAGCCCTGGCAAAACGTTTCTCACGCAGGCGAACAAGTCCGTCCGTCTGTCCGGAAGATGAATAGTTGTCTGCCTCATACATCCATCTCCGCCCCCCTGCCTTTGATCCCCAGAGCTCGGGTGGGACCTCACGAGCAGCAGTGGCTCTTCCGTCCCGAGGACCAGCCCATAGATTTCCACTGCTCTCCTCTCCTCTGCCTGGAACCCCCAGGTTGTCCTGATGCTGATCTTGACTCCCACGCTTCCTCCTCCTCTTCTGATTTGGCTGCTGGAAGGACTGGCGGCCGACAGGCCACAACAGAATCATAGTTTACACCTAAGTCAGGTTGTTGAGTCCTATTTTCTGCTGATCCTGTCTAATTGGCACTTTCATAGATTTCCACTGCCCTCCTCTCTTCTTCCTGCTGTGAATCCGTGCGTCAGGCCCTGGACCCAGCTGTTCCTCCTCTTCCTCATCAGCCCCCTCCAGACCTGATGGCTGATGGACAGCCCAGGCTCTGCTTCTGCCTGCCTGTCTGTCTCTCTCTCTGCCTGATCCATTCCCTCTTCCCCCTCAGGTTGCTCTGATGCTGACCTCACTCTCACGCCTCCTCCTCCTCCTCAGCCGCCTCAGATTCGGTTGCTGGAAGGGCCGTCAGCCAACAGGACGCAATATCCCCAACCTGACAACCTTCAGGGACATTAGATCAACGTTGCCCTACAGGGTCCACTTCCAAACGTGAGGGCCAATTCCCAGAATTCTCAGCTGCGGCTCTGGTGGCGGGGGGATTCTGGGAGTTGAAGTCCACCTTTCTGGAAGCCGTGAACGTTAGAGAACGTGAAGTGTTTTTTTTTTCCAGCGGGACCAATCTATAAGGGCAACCTGGTCTCCCCAATGATGGGATGGAGCAGGCTTGCTTTCGCCTTTCAGCCCCAATCCAGGATCCTTCGCAGGCAGTCGCTTTGTTGGTAGACATAAAACAATTTCAACACAAAATTAGTTTGTCGCAAAAGCAACTGCCTAGAAAGGCTCCTGGATTGGGGCTGAAAGGCGAAAGCGGAAGCAAGTCTGCTCCATCCCATCATTGGGTCGACCAGGTTGCCCTCATCGATTGGTCCCACTGGGAAAAAAAAAACAACCCTTAATTTCTCCCTTGGTATAGCCAACAAAGCAAGTAGAGCCCATGGCTTAGAGGTTAATATATCTACCTAATATGCAAGTAGCCCGGGTTCGAATCCCAGAAGGGTATGGCTAGCTGACGAGAGCTAAATAGCTTGAAATAGATTATACTAGTCTCCCTTTATTTCTTTGTTGGTAAACATAAAAAATAATAATTCAACACACAAAAAAGTTAGAGAATGTTATAGAACCTTCTCATTTTTCACATACAATATGTCCTGTTGGTGTACTTAGTATTTTATCCTGATTATAGACTTCCTTAGTCTACTCTCTTGAGTTTCCAGCTGGTTTTTCATGTCAAGAGATCTAGGAAGTGTAGTTGAGACAGAGATCCTGTAGGGGGTGCAAGCAGCACACTGCTGTGCCTCAATACCTACATGGGCTTCCAATACCTACATGATCTCACTCCGTCTCCCTGGCTGGTACATGATCTCACCTACTAACATCACCACTTCCTTACTTGTACATTCTTAAGGATTGGTTGGGGGGGATTCGCCAATCCAAACGCTGTTACTATATTACCTTTTCCTGCTTGTAAAACCTGTATAAAAAGCAATAAACGCTGCGCAGGCAGTCGGACATCTTGGCACCCTGCAAAATGACTGGTCTTTGAACTCTGTCGAGGAAGCAGAGTAAAGACCAAAGTTTTGTCTTCCCAAGCCAATCACATTCGGCCTTCTCCACCAACACCAACGCACCGTCATCACGTTGTTGGTGGTGATGGCTTCAAGTCAGTTTTGACTCTTGGTGGTTGCCCGGACAAGTCCTTGGGTTTCTTTGGAAGCATACATGGAAACGCTTTGACCTGGTCTTCTTCTTCTAGGGCTGAGAGAGAGGAACTGGTCCAAGATCAACCAGCTGGCTTCGTGGCTGAAAAAAGACCAGGCCTCACTTTCTTCCAACTTCCGATCCCATGCCTATGTTCACTATTCCAGACTACATCTTACCAACCTAATGCGGTTGACCATCTGCCAAGGGGTTGGCATAAGACACGGTGTCTCCATGAGATGCTACGGCCCAGATTTCTAACCTAGAAGCATGAGGAATATCTGGTGGGCCACCAAACGACTTGTTCTTGGCTGCCATCAAGTTTTGACCTACACTATATATACGATGTGTAGCTCAAAACTTGATGTATGGCAGCTCTCACCGATGTGAGAACTTAAGTTTGGACCACAAGCTGTAGATCTCTACAGCACAACTGCTGTCAATCATAAAATATGGGGGAATCCTTGAAGGCTGGTGTTGGGATTCCAGGCAGTTACATTAAATTTACATTACAGTTTACATTAAATCACGAGTCTCGAGCCAAACTTCCAAAACTTCAAAAGGATTTATTGGCAGTAAACATGTCGACATTGCCTGGGTGTAGCCGACTCTGAGACACATCATTCATGGTTTTTTCCCCTGCACTCCCTGGGTGTATCCTAATTCCTATCCTCCAATGGGACACCTCCATAGCCCAGAGTCACCAATCATGCTCTCCAGTTAGAATTTTTGCGGGGCAGAAACTTCAGTCACCTAGTCACTATCTTTGAAAACATTTATGGAATGCAGTTTCCATTTCCAAGCTGCCCCACTGCTCCCCCCCGCCTCCCTTTCCGCTGGCAACTCTAAAAAGACCCTCGAAATATTTTGTGAGTTGACACCTGGTGCCTCAAGCCCCCACATTCCATCGGTTCTCATCCCCTCCTTACTTTCAGGTATTGCTGGATCATGGCGAGCTTCAGCTTCTTGATCGTCTCCGAGTCGTCTTGATCGGCCTTGACGCGTTTACGCACGACATCTCGCGTGAAGATCCCCACGCTATTCTTGCTGTCGGCATTGACTGGTTTACCATTCTGGAAGAACTCCTGAGTCAGGTTATAGACCTGTTTCCGGACAGAGAGGAAGGGCATGAAACGAAGACTCTATAACCCAAGACTCTGAGGCAGGGCTCCCCAAACTTGGCCGCTTTAAGACTTGTGGACTTCAACTCCCAGAATCCTCCAGCCAGCTATGCTTTCCCCGTCGATTTTAACAGATAACAGATAATCAGAGTTGGAAGGGACCTTGTAGGTCATCTAGTCCAACCCCCTGCCCAGGCAGGAGACCTTACACCATTTCTGACAGATGGCAGTCAATCTCTTTTTGAAAGCCTCCATTAATGACACTCCCGCAACTCCTGAGGGCAACTTCTGTTCCATGGGTGGATTGTTCTCACTGTCAAAAAATTCCTCCTTATTTCCAGGTTGAATCTCTCCTTGTTCAGTTCCCATCCATTGTTCCTTGTCTGGCCTTCAGGTGTTTTAGAAAATGGCTTTGACCGCTTCCTCCTCCCTGTGGCAGCCCCTCAAATATTGGAAGACTGCTATCATGTCTCCCCTAATCCTTCTCTTCCCTAGACTAGCCAAGCCCAGTTCCTGCAACTGTTCATTGTATATTTTAGCCTCCAACCACCCCCTAATCCTCCTGGTTTCTCTTCTATGCACTCTTTCCAGAGTCTCAACATCTTTTTTATAGTGTGGTGACCAAAACTGGATGCAGGACTCTAGGTGTGGCCTTACTAGGGCTTTATAGGGTGGTATTAGTACCTCCCTTGATCTGGATTGTATCCCTCTGTTAATTCAATTTAGGATGGTGTTGGCTTTTTGGGCTGCTGCTGCACACGGCTGGCTCCTATTTAGCTGGTTGTCCACTAAGACTCCAAGATCCTCTCCCAGTTCCTGCTATTGAGCCTGGTTTCACCCAGTCTATATGTGTGGCTTTTGGTTTTCTTGCCTAAGTGTAGGACTTTATATTTGCTAAGTTGGATCACATGACCATGGGGAGGCTGTGACAGGTTGTGTGCAAAATGCCCCTAAGTCGCTTTTCTCAGCATCGCTGAAACGTTGAACGGTCACTAAACAAACTGCTGTAAATTGAGGACTACCTGTCGGAGCATTTGCAGCCTGACTGCCATTGTGAGACAACCCAGGAGCAAAACACAGCACACAGAGTCTTAGTGGTTAATATACAACAGCTATATACAGACATATATGTGGCAGGCAAAATACCTTACAAGCAATCTTTCTTCTTCTTAACTCTACACAGAGAACTCTGCAATGAATACCCGACACAAGGAGGGAGAGAGCACGCCCTCTAATGGCTGCCTCTTATATAAACACCTCTTAAAGGGGAAGAACCCATCCCCGGTCTTAAAGGAGCAGTACCAATGCTATGCCGATTCATCCTCAGTCGCATCAGCCCTCATCTTGCACCAGCCACATCTGGTCAGCTCTTAAATTGCAATACCTTCACACTACTTGTCCATGGAGCCTTGACATCCTCTCCCTGCACACATAGTAGCTGTTGTTTTGATTGTTTGCAAAGCCTGATATAACCCGCTCAAGCACAAGGTTGCTTAAGCCTTCCTAAGCCGCTCGCCGAAAGGAAGCAGATCATACTTTCGTAAGACGAGTAAAATAAATAAATAATCCGGGGTTTTTTACTTCATTGGGGTTTCAGTGCCGGGAACAAAACCGAAAGCCCAAATTTTCAAACACCAACCCGAAATTGCTGGGGCAGCGTCACGAGGCCCATAGGGAGCTTTAATTAAGTCCTCTAATTTATCCCCAGCTTTTTAAATGAGGCTAGGAATGCTCTAAGAGGATATTCGTGACGGCAGCTCGATAGCAGTTCTGGCCTTTAACGAACCAGGAATCTGAGCGTGGACAATCTCGAACGAGTCTTGGGATCCCAGATCTCCTAAGATCCTTAAGAGGAAAAGGCCACGCGTGTGATTTTACCCCAGGACATAAAGGAGGCCCATTTCGTCTTCCGCTTTGCCGTTGGAGATACAGGGAAGGTCACCAATCTTATTAACGGGGCAACTATGGTTTCCAACGGTTCCTTCCCCAAACCGGGAATTTAAGAGACGCTCGTACAATTCAAGCCATGGTGGACGACCACGGTTACCAGGAGCCACAGATAACCCTGGTCAGGTCCTCCGTGAATTGAACCAGGCTTCTTTCAAGCTGGATCTGAACTGGTTACTTTCCCATGCAGGGGCAGTAAATTAGAGAAAGAAGACAGAAAGAGAAAGAGAAAGAAAGAGAAGGAGAGAAAGACAGAGACGGGAGGGAGGAAGGAAAGGAAGGAGGGAGGGAGGGAGGGAGGGAGGGAGGGAGGGAGGGAGGAAGGAAGGAAGGAAGGAAGGAAGGAAGGAAGGAAGGAAGGAAGGAAGGAAGGAAGGAAGGAAGGAAGGAAGGAAGGAAAACAAAGAGACAAAGAGAGAGGAAAGAAAGAAGGAAGGAAAACAGAAAGAGAAAGAGACAGAGAAGAGAGGAAGGAAGGAAGGAAAGAAGGAAGGAAAACAAAGAGACAAAGAGAGATGAAGGAAAAAAGGAAGGAAGGAAAACAGAAAGAGAAAGAAAGAGACAGAGAAGAGAGGAAGGAAGGAAGGAAGGAAGGAAGGAAGGAAGGAAGGAAGGAAGGAAGGAAAACAAAGAGACAAAGAGAGATGAAAGAAAGAAGGAAGGAAAACAGAAAGAGAAAGAGACAGAGAAGAGAGGAAGGAAGGAAGGAAGGAAGGAAGGAAGGAAGGAAGGAAGGAAGGAAGGAGAGTGAGAAAAAGAGAAGGAAGAAAGAAAGAGAAAAAGAAAGGGAGAAAGACAGGAGAGAGAAAGGAAGGAAAGAGAGACAGAGAGAGAAAGAGAGACAGAGAGGGAGGGAGGGAGGGAGGGAGGAAGGGGAAAAAAGAGGGAAAGAGAAAGAAAAAAACAAAGAAAGAAAAACAAAGAAAGAAAGATAGAGTCAGAGAAGGAAGGAAGGAAGAAGGAAGGAAGGAAGGAAGGAAAAGAGGGAGGGAGGGAGATGGAAGGATAGAGAAAGGAAGAAAGAGGGAGAGAGAAAGGAACGAAAGAAAGAAAGAAAAAGAGAGAAAGATGGAGACAGACAGGGAGGGAGGGAGGAAGAGAAAGGGAGGGGAAAGGACCCTACGGCACGGCCAGAGACCAGCGAGGAGGAGGGCCTTCCCAGAGCTACAAACCTCGTTGTATAAATCGCTGAATTCTTCAACCACGTCTTTCGGGATCCTCTGCCCGCCACTGGTGAGGTGGTAGGCGACCCCATTGCGGGAGTAGAGGCTGATGCGGCCCAAGCTCCGCTCATCCTCGGTCGTCTCCTCGAGCAAGCCATTGTCTTCTGCTAGATGATAGACGGGGTTTCCATGCGAGCCGTGGATCCACGTCGCTCCCAGTTCAAAAGTCGCGTTCGCTGCAGTGGGGGGGGGGGGGGGGGGGGGGGGGGGGGGGGGGG